CAAAAAATTTCACAAGTTGTATGGAAACACAAAAGACCCCAAATAGCAAAAGCAACCTTGAGAACAAAAAACAGAGCCGGAGGAATCAGGCTCCCGGACTTCAGGCTATACTACAAAGCTACAGTAATCAAGACAGTATGGTACTGGCATAAAAACAGAAATATAGATCAATGGAACAGGACAGAAAGCCCAGAGATAAACCCACGCACATATGGTCACCTTATCTTTGATAAAGGAGGCAAGCATATACAGTGGAGGAAAGAGAGCCTCTTCAATAAGTGGTGCTGGGAAAACTGGACAGGTACATGTAAATGTATGAGATTAGAACACTCCCTAACACCATACACAAAAATAAGCTCAAAATGGATTAAAGACCTAAATGTAAGGCCAGACACTATCAAAGTCTTAGAGGAAAACATAGGCAGAACACTACATGACATAAATCACAGCAAGATCCTTTTTGACCCACCTCCTAGAGAAATGGAAATAAAACCAAAAATAAACAAATGGGACCTAATGAAACTTCAAAGCTTTTGCACAGCAAAGGAAACCATTAACAAGACCAAAAGACAACCCTCAGAATGGGAAAAAATATTTGCAAATGAAGCAACTGACAAAGGATTATTCTCCAAAATTTATAAGCAGCTCATGCAGCTCAATAACAAAAAAACAAACAACCCAATCCAAAAATGGGCAGAAGACCTTAATCGACATTTCTCCAAAGAAGATATACAGACTGCCCACAAACACATGAAAGAATGCTCAACATCATTAATCATTAGAGAAATGCAAATCAAAACTACAATGAGATATCATCTCACACTGGTCAGAATGGCCATCATCAAAAAATCTAGAAACAATAAATGCTGGAGAGGGTGTGGAGAAAAGGGAACCCTCTTGCACTGTTGGTGGAAATGTAAATTGATACAGCCACTATGGAGGTTCCTTAAAAACTACAAATAGAACTACCAAATGACCCAGCAATCCCACTACTGGGCATATACCCTGAGAGAACCATAATTCAAAAAGAGTCATGTACCAAAATGTTCATTGCAGCTCTATTTACAATAGCCCGGAGATGGAAACAACCTAAGTGTCCATCATCGGATGAACAGATAAAGAAGATGTGGCACATATATACAATGGAATATTACTCAGCCATAAAAAGAAATGAAATTGAGTTATTTGTAGTGAGGTGGATGGACCTAGAGTCTGTCATACAGAGTGAAGTAAGTCAGAAAGAGAAAAACAAATACCGTATGCTAACACATATATATGGAATCTAAGAAAAAGGGGAAAAAATGTCATGAAGAACCTAGGGGCAAGACGGGAATAAAGACACAGACCTACTGGAGAATGGACTTGAGGATATGGGGAGGAGGAGGGGTAAGCTGTGACAAAGTGAGAGAGTGGCATGGACATATATACACTACCAAATGTAAAATAGATAGCTAGTGGGAAGTAGCGACATAGCACAGGGAGATCAGCTAGGTGGTTAGTGACCACCTAGAGGGGTGGGATATGGAGGGTGTGAGGGAGGGAGACGCAAGAGCGAAGAGATGGGAACATATGTATATGTATACCTGATTCACTTTGTTATAAAGCAGAAACTGAAACACCATTGTAAAGCAATTATACTCCAATAAAGATGTTAAAAAGAAAAATACAGTCAGTCATTAGGATGCTTGAAACAGGAAGGGAAGTGACCATAACATCTCATGTAGCTCAGAGTCTCTCTGATTATGTCACAGTGAGTACTTAAAATGAGTGCAAAACTTGAAGCAAAGCTGCCTGTTATTCTTTAAAAAAAGAACAAGTATCCCAAACTTAATGACCTTTTCTCTAATGGCAAGTGGCTGTCTAGCAGGTATTTTACTCTTTGGTTCCTTTATTCACTGAGCAAACATTTTAGTGTCTCATAACTACTCATCTCTGTGCCAGGCACTGGGAGTACACAGATGGATGATACACCATCTCTGTCCTCTGGGAGCTCATGGACCAGAACAGCAGACAGGCAAAGAGACTCTAGTAACATGGGGTGAGAAATCCCACGATGGGGCTTGGCCCTGGGAAGGGGGCCCAGCCCAGGCTTGGGGGTCAAATACGAGGCCCTAAGGATGGGCAGGAGTTAGCTGGGTAAAGAGGAGAAGGTGTGGGGTCAAAGAGAGCAGTGCATGCAGGTCCAGAGGCGCCTTCGGAGGGTTGTCTCTGCATCACTGAGGAGACATGAGGCTGGAGAGGGAGACTTTGCGTGCCTTGGTAAGGAGCTTAGCCCTACCCTGAAAGCAATGATGTGCCACTGGGGGGTTTTAAGCAAAGGAGTAAAATTACCAGATTTGTCTAAGAAATAACATTCTAGCAATAGAGGGCATGGGACAAGACTGGAGCAGAGAGCTGATCTAAGATGCTTTTATAATCAGGCGGGAGTGACATATAGAGGAATTTGATGTAGGAAGGGAGAATAAGCAGGACTTGGTAACTGTTTTTCGATAGACCAGCCGAGTGGGCTATCCATAGGCAATTGACTATATAAACTGTGTATTTGTGGGTGTAGAGTTAAATGTTTGTCCTTAGAGATAGAGATTCGGCAGTCAAATATGGAAAAGGCCAGGGGCAGGGCCCTGGATACACCAGTATTTAAGAGGCAGGAGGAAAAAGAAGGACCCGCAAATGAGACTTGAGTAAAGAACAGCTAGAAAAGTAGGAGGGAGACCAGGGGCATCCCCAAAGCAGAGAGGGGCCAGTGGTGTCGAATGCTGCCAAGAGCTCAGATAAAGGACTGAAGCGTAAGCAGTGATTCGGGTGCACCGATGGTGGTGGTAATTGTGGGAAAAGCATGTTTAGTGAATCGGCAGGCTCAGAAGCCAGCACGGAAAGGACAGAGCGAAAGAATGAGCAGTGAAGACGGAAGACAACTTCCTTTAAGAAACCCGAGGGAAGTAGTAGCCCACCCTTTTAATAAACTTGATCCGAAGAGACAGTGGACAAGGCAGCAAGACACAGGGTTAAGAAGGCATTTTGTCATGGCTCTGAGTACCTTCGGTGTTGACTGGGAAAAGGCAGTAGGAGGTCTTAGAGCAGAACACTATTCCAAGAAAGGGTCTCTGCGGAGTCAGAGAGGAGGGGGAGGCAGGAGGAACCAGCTGTGGGCTGTCACTGGTGTGAGGAGTTCAGGCCCGTTTCCTCTTGGTTTGTCACCCATAGAACAGGGCATCAGTTGGGGCAGCCTTAAAATAGCTGTTGGAGACTGTTATTAAATCATCCCCCAACCGCTTCCTCTTTAGCTGATTAAGTGTCATGTTGGCATACCCCACCGTGCCTGTGCCTCCTGGGGGCCAAGCCTGGCAGGAGAGTCGGCAGGAGTGTGAGAATCGTGGAGCCGCAGAATTTCAGAACTTGGAGCCATCTACTCTACCGCCATCCTTGTGAAGGACAAACTGAGGCCTCTGCCCCTCCCCCTCTTGATGGTGTGTGGGAAGCAGATTTTTTACAAGGATTATTTGAAAAATCTTACAGGAAAACAGAAAGTTGAATAACTGTAAAAGCAGGGGTGCCCCAAACAAAGGGTCTTGTTGGTTTACAGATTTGCTGTTAGTTCCCCTTCCACTCTGGGACCCTTCCTACACATAGAATCCTTTAAAGTGTTTACAATATTCCCTCTTCCTTGAACAGGCTGGATCCTAGTAACATAAGCACAGCCCTTATAAAGAAATCAACAGGGACTTCCCTGGTGGTCCAGGGGTTAAGACTCCACGCTTCCACTGCAGGGGGTGAGGGTTCCATCCCTGGTTGGGGAACTAAGATCCTGCATGAAGTGTGGCCAAAAAAAAAAAAAGAAAGAAATCAGCAGATCAGCCCCAATGGAATAGGAGATTCCTTCCTAAATGCTGGCTTCTCTAGACCCCTGCAGCCCAGCAGGTGGGGGCCCAGACGTAGGGTCATTTCACAGAAGGGACGCTCTTTTTTTTTTTTTTTTAAGCAGAGGCCTTCTTAGAAGCCCATATGATTTAGATTTATTTATTTATTTTTATTTATGACTGTGTTGGGTCTTCGTTTCAGTGCAAGGGCTTTCTCTAGTTGTGGCAAGCGGGGACCACTCTTCAGCGCGGTGCGCGGGCCTCTCACTATCGCGGCCTCTCTTGTTGCGGAGCACAGGCTCCAGACGCGCAGGCTCAGTAATTGTGGCTCACGGGCCCAGTTGCTCCACAGCATGTGGGAGCAACTTCCCAGACCAGGGCTCGAACCCGTGTCCCCTGCATTGGCAGGCAGATTGTCAACCACTGCGCCACCAGGGAAGCCCTAGAAGGGACGCTCTTTTAAGGAATGGCACCTATGTGCAGCTGTCCTCCCAGGTTGCTGTCACAGAGCTGGCCCCCTTCCTGGGAGCAGGGTCTCGGGATGCCGGCCCTGACCCCAGCTCCAGGCATAGAACCAGGAGTGCTAACGCAGATACTGCTTGCTTCCAGGTTCCTTCCGACCAAGGGGACATGGCTCTGCAGATGATGAGGCTGGTGACTCAGCAAGAATAGGATGGCCTGGGCTGGAGGTGAGCTGCTTGGCCTTGGGGCACGGAAGCCGAAGCAAGCGCCCTGAAGGTGTAGGAACCACTCTTCTCCCTTTGAATCTGACTCGGGGGGAGAACCTCACTTGGGCTGTGATTGTGAAGGGTCCCATCAGCTTCTACAGAGAACAAAATCATTGCCTCTGTGACAACTTGGAAATCATTTCTGCTTCTGAAAACTAAGTTTTAAAAAACTGGATTGGGGGCTTCCCTGGTGGCGCAGTGGCTGAGAGTCCGCCTGCCGATGCAGGGGATACGGGTTCGTGCCCCGGTCCAGGAAGATCCCACATGCCGCAGAGCGGCTGGGCCCATGAGCCATGGCCGCTGAGCCTGCGTGTCCGGAGCCTGTGCTCCGCAACGGGAGAGGCCACAACAGTGAGAGGCCCGCATACCGCAAATAAATAAATAAATAAATTAAAATTAAAAACTGGATTTGTTTTCATCAAAATAAAGGGTTGAAGTAGATTAACATTTTCTTATTACAAAAGCAAATTATGCGATTTATAGAAAAATCAGGAAATACAGGCAAAGAACAAAATGAACACTCACGCTCCCTTCCCACGGATAAGCACTGTTACCACTTAAGTGTTTATTCTTGCACATCTTTTTTTGCTATGTATACATATATATTTTACACAAAAACGCAATCATTGCTATGTTATTTCACAGTCTGCTTTGTTCACACATCAGTATGATGTCTGCTGAGCATTCCATTTTATGGATGTACCATAATTTACCTACCAAATGCCCAGTGTTGCCCATGAGCAGTGTCTAGTTTGTCTCTTTTATAAACGGTGCTCTGGTGGTTTATCCTGTTAGTTACATTTTTACACACATCCTTATCATTTTCTTAGAATAATTTCCTAAAAGCATACTTGTTCAGTTAAAAAATTGTAACATTTCTTTAAAATTAAAATGATGAGTTTGGGACTTTAGAGTTTTAATTCATGGCTCAAGATCTGCAAAGGGACCTGATAGCTTCTATGGTAGCCCTGAAAGAATACCACTTCCTGTAGTTGTGGGGCTGAGATTTTGAAAACCAAACCCAAAGTCTCGACCTGCAGTATGTGAGGAAAGAGTTACTAACAGGTTACGCCTACGTGACGAGCCCCTTCTGACCTGAGACTAAAATAGGCTTCCTTGGGTGGTGCTCCACGCTTTCCCCACAGTTCGGTTTGCTGTTGGGAAGAGAGGGCTCCTGTACTCCTGTGTGGATGGGGAAGAATGCAGAGACTTGTGCTGGGCCCCTCTGGACTCCACCAATGCGTATCGTTCTGCTGCTTCTGCCGGGTATCATTTGCTGGAAAAAAATTGAACTATGAGTATAACTAGTTACTGGGTCTTATGAGTCCTTTGGGCGTTGAATTACAACATAAGTTGAATTCCCATCCTCACAGAGTCTTTTTGTTAGAGGTTAGGGTATTTGGGGGGAAGGAGTGAAAGTTTGAACATTAGGGTATGTCATATGGGCAGATTCCAGTGAACCTGGGACCTCAAAGCTTTTTTGCCATTGGGAGCAGCCCTTCCATCCCTGTCTGAGGAGGTTAGTCTCTTGCCCTAAGATCCTATAGCAAATTCCCAGACTTGCCTAAGGCCCCTGTTCCTGCTACATTGTATTCTCTCTCAACCCACACCCATGCCTTCATGGGATTCCCTATGATGTGTTGACTGAGGAAGAAAAGTCTCAGGCTTGGTTTGTAGGTGGTTCTGTGCGATATGCATGCATCGCCTGAAAGTGGACCGCTTTGGCACTGGAGTTCCTCTCTGGGACAGCCCTGGAAGGTGGTGGTGAATGGAAATCCTCCTGCTGGACAGAACTGGGAGCAGTGCACCTGTTTATTTTGCCTGCAAAGAGATGGCCAGAAGAAAGGGTCTGCCCTGAGTCATGGTTTGGTTGGGTCGTTGAACTGGAAGGAGCACAACTGGAAAATCGAGAGGTCTGAGGATAGAGCTCTCTGATTGGCAGAGGGTGAAGATGTTTGGGTTCCATGTGAATGCTCACTGAAGGGCAGGGGAAGGGTTTAATAATCGGGTGGATGGGATGACCCATTTGGTAGACATCAGACAGCCCCCTTCCCCAGCAACTCCTGTGGACTTGTGAACATAGTGGCCCTGGTGATAGTGATGGAGGCTATGCATGGCCTCAGCAACATGAACGTGTGTTCGCCAAGACTGAACTGGCTACAGCTACTGCTCAGTGCCCAACCTGCCAGCAGGAGACAGCGCTGAGCCCCTAATGTGGCACCATTGCCGCAAGGAATCAGCCAGCTACCTGGTGTTAGGTTGATTACATTGGACCACTTTCATTTTGGAAGAGGCAGCAAGTTGCTCTTACTGGAATTGACACTTGCTCCGGACATAGATTTGCCTTCCCTGCCCACAATGCTTCTGCCAAAACTACCACCTGTGGCCTTACAGGATGTCTCATCCGCCATCATGTTATTCACAGCAAATGAAATACAGCAGTGGGTTCGTGCTTTTGGGATTCAGTGGTCCAACCCTAGTCTTCATCATCTCAAAGCAACTGCTTTGACAGACAATTGAATGACTTTTTGAAGATTCAGTTATATTGCCGAATAGGTGGTGACATCTTGCAAGGGCTGGGGCAGTGTCCTCCGGTTTGTGGTAAATTCTCTAAATCAGCATCATGTTTCTCCCATACCCTGGATTCAGAAGTTCAGGAATCAAGGGATAAATATGAAAGTCAATCCTCTCAGTATTAACCCTAATGATCCAATAGTCAGAGTTTTGCTTCCCATCTCTGCAGTTTTAGCATCTGCTGGTGTAGAGATCTTGGAGAAATGCTTTCACAAGGAGACACAGCAAAGATTGCATTAAATTGGAACTTGAAGCTGCCATCTGGCCTCTTTGGACACTGAATCAATAGGCAGAGTACTGGCTGGGGTGATTGACCTGACTATCAAGGGGAAACTGGGTTGCTGCTGAGCGGTGCGGGTAAGAAGGGGTACTGCAGGAGACCCTTTGGGGTGCCTCTTAGTACTCCCATATCCTCTGATTAAGATCAATGGAAAACACATAAACAACAAGGTCCTACTACTGTATAGCACAGAGAACTATATTCAGTATCCTATGATGAAAGATATTAAAGAATATTAAAAGAATATATATAACTGAATCACTTTTCTGTACAGCAGAAATTAACACAACGTTGCAAATCAACTATACGTCAATAAAACAAACAAACAAAAATCAGTGGAAAACTACAACCACCCAATATAGACTGCTAACGTCCCATATCCTTCACAAAGGGCTTGAGTCATTCCACCAGGCAAGGAGCTATGACGACGGAGGTGTTTGCTGGGCAAAAGAAATATGGAATGAGCAGTAGATGATGATAGTTACAAATACTAGCTGTGGCCTTGTGACCAGCTGTAGAATGAGGACTCTAATAGTTTAAAGTATTTCTTCTTTATTTTGATGTGACTATATTTTAATAAATATTAACTAAAAATTTTTTATCTCCTCTCTCAAACTCTTATCATATAACCTGAGATGTGCTCATAATCACTTTATATGTAATTGTTTTAAGTTACAAGATGTCAAAACAGGAGTGTGAATCAGCTAGGAAAAGAATGAATGTTATCCAAAGACGAAAAAGGGACCTTGATGCTCTCCTGGGGATGAGTTTAGAATGGTTTTGGTTGTAAGAGGGATAGTGTGTCATGTTAAGCAGAAGCATAGCTTTGTTTTTGTCTTTATTTGGAGATTAAATGGTGTTTCGGGCAACGTGTGGGTGGCCAGTTGAGAAGGGGTAGACTGTAGTCTTTGTAATGTTTCAACTTGCCTTGGCCAAACTCTGTTTTCCAGAGTTAAATTTCCGCTATGTTTCTGATTAGAGTGGCCTAGAAGACTGGAGATTCTATGACCTTTGGAGGGTGGAAATTGATTTTTCCTAGTTAGGCCAGCTGCTGTTTCACCTTGTGAACTGTTGTCTTCTCATCTGTTTCTTAATTTCTTATTTCATGAGCTCAGTGTTTGCTTTAATTTCCTTGAGAGGAAGCAAAGTGTTTAGAGTTTCCTAGTACAAACCTTCCAAGGAATGTTTCTCATCTGTTTCATCTGTCTTTTGTATTTTGTGTTGATTTCCTCCATTTTAGTTGAGGTTGGTTGTGTGTGTGTTTTTTCGTGTTTATTGTGTTTGCTTGTTTATGTATACTTATCTTTGAATGAGGGTAGTTATAGAATAATCTCGTTCCCCATCCTGTTCTTTTGGTTAATTTTTAGCTTGTCCCCTTAGTTCTTATTCCGGAAGATTGGATGTTGTGTGTCCATATGGTCTGTTTAGTTGTTCAGGTGCCTAAGGGAGGTGGATGCTGGGATCTTGAGCAATAAGAACAGATCTTCCTCGACTTTGATGGGGTTACATCCTGATAAATCCATCGTAAGTTGAAAATAAGTCAAAACTGCATTTAGTATACCTAACCTACCTAGCTTACCTAGCTTAGCCTAACCTACCTTAAACGTGCTCAGAACACTTCCATTAGCCTGCGGTTGGGGACAGCCATCCAACACAAAGCCTGTTTTATAATGAACTGTTGAATATCTCATGTAATTTGTTGAATACTGTACTGAAAGGGAAAGAACGGTTGTCAGTGTCTCATGATCGTGTGACCGACAGGGAGCTGTGGCTGCTGCTGCCCAGCATCACAAGAGAGTGTTGTACCAGGTATCGCGGCCCGGGGAAAGATCACGATTCAGAATCTGATGTACGGTTTCTACTGAATGCGTATTGCTTTTGCACCATCTAACGTCGAAAAATTTTAAGTCAAACCATTGTAAGTCGTGGGCTGTCTGTATCGGGAACCTTACTTGGGGCCCTTATTCACTCATGGCAGAGGCACCTAGGTTTTCTTGTGGTCCCCTGCTGCAGGATGGACCAAACACTTTGGTTTTTTTCTTTGTTTTTGTTTCTTTGGTTTTTTTGGACCAACCACTTTGGTAAGAAGCGAAGTCCAGAGAGACCTAGGGACTCCTTATTTGATGGATTAGTATTAGTTCCCTATTGCTGCATAATAAATCACCCAGAAATGTGGTGACTTAGAACATTAGTATCTGATCGTTTCTGTAGGTCAAGTTGGGGTCTCTCCTGGGGCTGCCATCAAGCTATTGGCCAGAGCTGCAGTCATCTCAAGGCTCAACTGGGGAAGGATCTGCTTACAAGCTCGCTCATGAGATTGTTGGCAAGACTCAGCTCATCACAGGCAGTTGGACTGAGGGCCTCTCTCAGTTATTTGCCATGTGAATCTCTCCGCAGGGCAGCGCATGACGTGGCAAAGTGAGAGAGAAGAATCGGAGAGAAAGTGAGCAAGGTACAGGTCACCGTCCTTTATAGCCGAATCCCAGTGTGCTATCTTATCACCTTTGCCTATTCTATTCTTAAGAAGCAAGTCAGTATGTCCTGCCCCGTTCAAGTGGAGGGAATTACACAAGGGCATGAATACAGGAAGCAGACATCGCTGAGAGCCATTGAGAGACTGTCTACCAGGTGGGCCAGCACTCATTTTCTCATACCTCCCTCTGTCTTTCTTCACCTCAGAACTCTTCTTGTCATGAGAGGGGTCAGAGGAGAAAGTATGGTGATGTGTAGACTTTCAGGCTCTCCTCACACCTCACACTCCTGAGGTGGAAGAATGGGCTTCCCCATGGCCTTAGGTTCAAGTCCAAAATCCTTCACCAGACCCAAAGACCTAATAGAAACAGGGCCCTCTTCAGCCTCATTGGTGTCTCTCTACCCCTTTCTCTTTTCACTGCAGTGCTATTAGAAGTTGGGTTCCTGGAGAGGGCCCTATAAGTTGTATCCTCTTCCTTACCCAAGTTCTGAAACAACTGAAAACAACACAAAGTCAGCAGATAAGAAAACCAAAATAAACTGGAAGATGTAGCTTAGTGTTTGAATCAGAATGCACTTGCTAATTGTAAATATCCAGTCTTGACCTTGGACCAGCCCATCCAAGGGAAAGGGACAGTGTGTAGGGCAGACACTGCCTCCTGCTCATCCTGGTAGAGAGGGGAAAAGAAAGCCAAATCCCCCCAAGCCAGCATTCATGCTAGATTGGCTCTACCCAGTCAAGAAATGTAGACCACCACCTGTGCCCCAGTGTGATGAACACTATGAATTACTTGCCAGTCCACCCTCACAGGCACCTTCCGGAGTGCAGAGGTCAGAAAGCCCAAACTGTACTCACAGATGCCTTTGTAGCTAGGGTTCGTGTTGTACATGAGGTGGATATTAGATGGCGGCCCTTTTGGTGTGGTTTTGTTTTTCTCGCAAGCCAGGTTGTAGAATCGTGAGATTTTTTCAGCAGCAACGTTCCAGGACCCATCCTTCCTGTGTATGAAGGATCTTTTGGGGTGGCATCTTCTTGCCTGAGGGCTCCTGGTCCCTGACTTACAACTATGGTGGTCTGTGTTAAATCAGTGTTCCAGTGGTAGGAGCGACAGTAGTGGACGAGTTCTTCCATGTTCTTGGACTCACCCCTGGAGACCCTATCCTCGAGCCATTTCTTCCCTCCTTCCAGTCTTTCCAATGAAGTAGTGAGCACTGATACTGATAAATCCTTTCCTACCCAAAATATCTACAGTGCTTTCTATTTCCTGCACTAAACTTTGGATGATACTGTAGTGGAAGTGCCTGGCAATTAGCTTATTTGATTGTGATGTAGGTGCCTGACATTAAACTTTCGATTGAATAAGCACATTGTCAGCTACACAAGTACATAAGGAGCCAGGCCACTGCACCTATGAAGTTCCCCCTTTAGAAAGCCCTGGGTGACCTAGATGACTGACCGCTTGAGTGATCCTGCTTTTTCCCTTCCTGCTCCTTCATTCCCAATCCTGTGTTCTAAATTAACCAATAAAGAGTGAACTCATGAAACTCTAGGCACCCCGGTAAAGGCAGAACCCAGGTATGCACTCTCTTTCTCTTTGGCCATGACCTCAGTATGTAGGCCCCAGGCATGCCTGTACCCTCCAGGGCTTGTGAGTAATCAACCTTGCTTTTTCAAAGTTCCCTGAGGGTTGCTGTGAGGCGCATCTTGCAATCATGATCAGAACCACAAGAGCTAATCCAGCCACAACACTGGCTCCAGTAGGGGAAGAGGAGGCTCACCACAGGTAGCAGGGGCCCAGGTGAGTGCCCGCAGGCATTCCGAGCAGATAGGTAGCATCACTGTCCATAGGCTGAGACTGCCACAAAACAGATACCCATCAGATAACTCAGCCTTCCTCCTTGCGGAGGATTAAAGTGAGGCAAGAGCTCTGAGTCTTCAGAAAGACTTAAAGCCAGAAACAGGGAAGAAGCCTTTCCCCTCTCCACTCTTCAGCACCCAACACTGGACTTTTCATGTGTCCTTCTTATTGAAAGACCTCCTGCCCCTCCCCACGTAGCTACTTTCTTACTCATCTTTCAGGTTTCAGCATAAACCTGACCTTCTCTCATAAGCCTTCCCTGATTCCCCTGGGAAGTTAGCAGCCCCCTTACTCAGTCTCATAGCCCTCTACCCGTCCTCTGTGATCCTCAGTCTTCTAGTGATTACTTCCTGGGGCCCTGGTACAGGGAAGGCCTTCAGGGTTCGCTAGTTGTTTGGCTGAGTAGCACTCCAGAGCAGGAATGAGGAATGAACACAATGGACCTCTTCCAAATTGTGCAGTCCCTGAGCTGCACTTGAGTTTGCTTTGTTCCAGGTGCTTGTCTTCCTCATTGGCTCTGACTAGGATATCACCATTCAGTGATACCCACTTTTTGCCGTATCTGTGCATGAAAATTTGCCACATTTTCTCGTTTCAAAAACTTGACCTTTTCATTTGTGCCGTTCTCTTTCCAACTTTGTTGGCAGATGTAGTTCACTGTTGCAGAAGTCTGGGGAGCAACGTCTTCAATGATAGCAAGAACAAGAATTGTATTTCTCACTAGGAGCTGTGCCCCTGACTTAGGGCCATCTGTTGCAAGGTTAGTTACACTTTATGGAGGTCTATCTATGCTGTAGGATAGGTAATCGAGCAGGTTGTAGGCAGAGAGTGCCAATACGAAAGCCCTTCTGAATGAGGTATCACCTCACAGAGGTCAGAATGGCCATCATTAAAGACTCTGCAACAATAAATGCTGGAGAGGGTATGGAGAAAAGGGAACCTTCCTATATTGTTGGTGGGAATGTAAATTGGTACAACCACTATGGAGAACAGTATGGAGGTTCCTTAAAAGAGCTAAAAATAGAATAAAGATGCAGATGTAGAGAATAGACTTGAGGACATGGAGAGGGGGAAGGGTAAGCTGGGACAAAGTGAGAGAGTGGCATGGACATATATACACTACCAAATGTAAAATAGATAGTTAGTGGGAAGCAGCTGCATAGCACAGGGAGATCAGCTCGGTGCTTTTTGACCACCTAGAGGGGTGGGTTAGGGAGGGTGGGAGGGAGACGCAACAGGGAAGAGATATGGAGATACATGTATACATATAGCTGATTCACTTTGTTATACAATGGAAACTAACACACCATTGTAAAGCAATTATACTCCGATAAAGATGTTTTAAAAAAAAAAACTAAACTAAAAATAGAACTACCACGTGATCCAGCAATCCCACTCCTGGGCATATATTATGGAGAAAACCATAATTTGAAAAGATATATGCACCCCAGTGTTCACTGGAGCACTATTTACAATACATGAGACATGGAAGCAACCTAAATGTCCATCGACAGAGGAATGGATAAAGAAGATGGGATATGTATATACAATGGACTGTTACTCGGCCATAAAAAAAGAATGAAATAACACCGTTTGCAGCAACATGGGTGGACCTAGAGATTATCATACTAAGTGAAGTCAGACAGAGAAAGACAAATATATGATATCACTTATATGTGGAATCTAAAAAGATGACATAAATAAACTTATTTACAAAACAGAAACAGACTCACAGACTTCGAAAACAAACTTATGGTTACCAAAGGGGAAAGGTTGGGGGGAGGGAGAAATTAGGAGTTTGAGATTAACATATACACACTACTATATATAAAATAGAGGGAGTCAAGATGGTGGTGTGGGAAGACGGGGAGTTAGCATCTCCCCACAACTAGGGCGCCTGCCGGCTGCTGGTGGAGGACTCTGATGCCCAAGGAGATGGGAGGAATGCCAAAGTGAACTGATAGGATGTAGGGGGACTAAGTGGGGGAGGAGAAGTGGAGGCTAGACAGGATTGGCGCCACTGAGAGCGGGGAGATCAGGAGAAGCAGGCGCGAGAGACTCTCCAGGAAGAGCAAGAGAGGAGTGGAGGGCGATTGCCTTGCCCACTCGGGCTGGGGAGACTGCTGAGCTCCCAGGCCGGTACCCCCACTCCAAAGCCCCATCCAGGCCACGTAGGTCCTGGGGGCATAGGAGGGAGGCTGGGGAGATCAGGAGAGGCAGGTGGGAGGAGCCATCCAGGAGGAGCAGGAGAGGAGCGGAGGGTGATTTCCATGCTCACTTGGGCCTGGGGAACCTGCTGAGCTCCCAGGCTGATCCCCTGCCCTCAAAAGCACCCTCCAAACCCCCCTCCAGGTCATGTGGGTCCTTGGGGGCGTAGGAAGGAAGCCGAGGGGAGAACAGGAGAGGCAGGTGAGAGGAGTGGGAGAGGAGCAGAGGGCAATTGCCACGCCCACTCGGGAGAGGGAGGCTGCTGAGCTCCCAGGCCGATCCCCTGCCCTCAAAAGCGCCCTCCAAAGCCCCCTCCAGGCCACACGGGTCCTTGGGGGTCATAGGAGGGAGACCGGAGATCAGGAGAGGCAGGTGGGAGGGGCCCTTCCAGACCAGAGGAGCAGGAGAGGAGAGGAGGGTGTTTTCCCTGCCCATTTGAGCCCAGGAAGCCTGCTGAGCTCCCAGGTGAGGTCCCCTGCCCTCTGAGACCAGGGATGGGTGGTACGCCTGGGCCCCTTCTGTTTCTTGAACCTAAGCCCCACACCCCACAGCTCCCAGGGCCTTTTCTGACTCTGTGGGTCCTGAGCATTGGCCCCACCCACCGCCCAAACCTTTCCCTTGTTTAGTCCCTGCCCTCCACAGCCAAGCCCTTTCCCCACCCTTTTTTTTTCTTTTCCCTCCTCCTTTTTACTATTGTAGTACTGATGTACCTTCCGGTTGTTGATTCGTCTATATTTTTATTTTTATATTCTTCCTAACATATCTGTTAGTTTACTAGTCTATTTTTATTTTTTACTTTTTTTTTCTTGCTGCCCCAGGCAGCTTGAAGGATCTTGGTTCATGAGCCCAGGGTCGGGCCAAAGCTCCTGCGGTGGGAGCTCTGAGTCCCAACCACTGGACTAACAGAGAACCTCAGACCCCAGGGAATATCCATAGGAGTGAGATCTCACAGAGTTCTTCATCTCAGCACCAAGACCCAACTCTACCTAATAGCCTACAAACCCCAGTGTTGGAAGCCTCAGGCCAAACAACCAGTAAGACAGGAACACAATCCCACCCGTAAAAAAAAAAAAAAAAAGACAAAAAAATGTCACACATGAAGGAGCAAGGTAAAAACCTACAAGACCAAATAAATGAAGAGGAAGTAGGCAACCTACCTGAAAAAGAATTCAGATTAATGATAGTGAACATGATCCAGAATCTAAGAAATAGAATGGAGACATGGATTGAGAAAATACAAGAAATGCTTAACAAAGGTCTAGAAGAAGTAAAGAACAAACAAACAGAGATGAACAACACAATAACTGAAATGAAAAATACATGAGAAGGAATCAATAACAGAATAACTGAGGCAGAAAAACGAATAAGCGAGCTGGAAGACAAAATGTTGGAAATAACTGCCAAGGAGCAGAATGAAGAAAAAAGAAGGAAAAGAATTGAAGACAGGGGGCTTCCCTGGTGGCACAGTGGTTAAGAATCCACCAGCCAATGCAGGGGACATGAGTTGGAGCCCTGGTCTAGGACGATCCCACATGCTGAGGAGCAACTAAGCCTGTGAGCCACAACTACTGAGCCTGTGCTCTAGAGCCCATGCTCTGCAAAAAGAGAAGCCACCACAATGAGAAGCCCACGCACTGCGACAAAGAATAGCCCCTGCTTACCGCAACTAGAGAAAGCCCACGCACAGCAATGAAGACCCAATGCAGCCAAAAATAAATAAATAAAATAATTTTATTAAATAAAAAATTGAAGGCAACCTCAGAGACCTCTGGGACAGCACTAAACACACCAACATTTGAATTATAGGGGTCCCAGAAGAAGAAAAGAGAAAGAAAGGGTCTGAGAAAATATTTGAAGAGACTGTAGTGGAAAACTTCTCTAACATGGGAAAGGAAAGAGGCAACCAAGTCCAGGAAGCACAGAGAATCCCATACAGGATAAACCCTAGGAGAAACACACCAAGACACATATTAATCAAAGTAACAAAAATTAAATTCAAAGAAAAAATATTAAAAGCAGCAAGGGAAAAGCAAAAAATAACATACAAAGGAATCCCCATAAGGTTATTAGCTGATTTTTCAGCAGAAACTCTGCAGGCCAGAAAGGAGTGGCAGGATATACTTAAAATGATAAAAGAAAAACACCTACAACCAAGATTACTCTACCCAGCAAGGATCTCCTTCAGATTTGATGGAGAAGTCAAAAGCTTTTCAGACAAGCAAAAGCTAAGAGAATTCAGCACCACCAAACTAGCTTTACAACAAATGCTAAAGAAAGTTCTCTAAGTGGGAAACACAAGAGAAGAAAAAGACCTACAAAAACAAACCCAAAACAATTAAGAAAATGGTAATAGGAACATACATATTGATAATAACCTTGAATGTAAATGGATTAAATGCCCCAACCAAAAGACACAGACTGGCTGAATTGATACAAAAACAAGACCCATATATATGCTACCTACAGGAGACTCACTTCAGTCCTAGGGACACGTACAGACTGAAAGTGAAGGGATGGAAAAATATATTCCATGCAAATGGAAATCAAAAGAAAGATGGAGTAGTAATACTTGTATCAGATAAAATAGACTTTAAAATAAAGACTGTTACAAGAGGTAAGGAGGGACACTACATAATGATCAAAGGATCAATCCAAGAAGAAGATATAATAATTATAAAGGTTTACGCACCCAACATAGGAGCACCTCAACACATACGGCAATTGCTAAAAACCGTGGAAAGAGAAATCAACAGTAACACAATAATAGTAGGGAACTTTAACACCCCACTTACACCAATGGACAGATCATCCAAACAGAAAATAAATAAGGAAACACAAGCTTTAAATGACATAATAGACCAGATAGATCTAATTGATATTTAGAACATTCCACCCAAAAGTGGCTGAGTACACTTTCTTCTCAAGTGCACAGAGAACATTCTCCAGGATAGATCATATCTTGGGTCACAAAGCAAGCCTTGGAAAATTTAAGAAAATTGTAGTAGTATCAAACATCTTTTCTGACCACAATGCTATGAGATTGGAAATCAATTACAGGAAAAAAAAACTGTAAAAAACACAAATACATGGAGGCTAAACAGTGCACTACTAAATAACCAAGAGATCATGGAAGAAATCAAAGAAGAAATTAAAAAATACATAGAAACAAATGACAATGAGAACATGATAAGCCAAAATCTATGGGGTGCAGCAAAAAGAGTTCTAAGAGGGAAGCTTATAGCAATACAGCCTCACCTCAAGAAACAAGAAAAATCTCAAATAAAACAATCTAACCCTACACTTTAAACAACCAGAGAGTGAAGAACATAGAAAATCCAAAGTCAGTAGAAGTAAAGAAACCATAAAGATCAGAGCAGAAATAAATGAAATAGAAATGAAGAAAATAATAGCAAAGATCAATAAAACTAAAAGCTGGTTCTTTGGGAAGATAAACAAAATTGATAAATCCTTAGCCAGACTCATCAAGAAAAAAAGGGAGAGGACACAAATCAATAAAATTAGAAATGAAAAAGGAGAAATCACAGCTGACAC